TCCCTCTGTTCCTCCTGGTCCCTCCGGCATGCATGTCTGGCATAAGCCAGCAATAGCAATAAGCAGAATCCTTTTTTCTCTCTTTTTTTTTTTTTTTAGAAAGAGTCACACTCTGTTGCCCAGTCTGGAGTGCAGTGGCGTGATCTCGACTCATTACAACATCTGCCTCCCTGGTCAAAGCGATCCTCCTGCCTCAGCCTCCCTGGTAGCTGGGACTACAGGCACATACCACTACACCAGGCTAATTTTTGTATTTTTAGTAGAGATGGCGTTTCACCATGTTGACTGGGCTGGTCTTGAACTCCTAACCTCAAGTGATCTGCCCACCTCGGCCTCCCAAAGTGTTGGGATTACAGGAATGAGCCACTGCACCTGGCCAGCAGAATCCGTTTAAAAGAAGAGCCTCAACCTAGGCTTCATGGATTTGGGGTCCAGGAACATGACAGTTTATGCAAATTCCACACATGGGTACAAGCACTGCTCTGGGGAGAGGGTCATAAGCTCCCATCAGATAGGCAAAAGGTATATAATATATAAGATGCTCAGGAGGGCATGGTGGCTCATGCCTGTAATCCCAGCACTTTGGGAGGCCGAGACCAGTGGATCACTTGAGCCCAGCAGTTTGAGACCAGCCTGAGCAACACTGTAAAACCCCATCTCTACAAAAAATACAAAAATTAGGCCGGGCATGGTGGCTCACGCCTGTAATCCCAACACTTTGGGAGGCCAAGGTGGGTAGATCACAAGGTCAAGCGATCGAGACCATCCTGACCAATATGGTGACTAAAAATACAAAAAAGGTCGGGCGCGGTGGCTCATGCCTGTAATACCAGCACTCTGGGAGGCTGAGGCAGACAGATCACAACATCAGGAGATCAAGACCATCCTGGCTAACATGGTGAAACTCCGTCTCTACTAAAAAATACAAAGAAATTAGCCGGGCATGGTGGTGGGCCCCTGTAGTCCCAGTTACTCGGGAGGCTGAGGCAGGAGAACGGCGTCAACCTGGGAGGCAGAGCTTGCAATGAGCCAAGATCGCACCACTGCACTCCAGGCTAGGTGACAGAGTGAGAGTTCGTCTCAAAAAAAAAAAAAAAAAAAAATTAGCAGCGTGTGGTGGCATAAGCCTGTAGTCCCAGCTACTGCGGAGGCTGAGGTAGGAGAATGGCGTGAACCCAGGAGGCGGAGCTTGCAGTCAGCCGAGATCGCGCCACTGCACTCCAGCCTGGGCGACAGAGTGAGACTTCGTCTCAAAAAATAAATAAATAAATAAATAAATAAATAAAATAAAAATAAATAAACCATACATAGTACCTCCCTCCAAGAAAGAAAAAATTGAAGAGTGTCCCACTATTGTCCTAAGTGTTAATAATAGACTATTGTGTGTCACCATCAATTTCCATCAAAGCAGTCAGAGCAAACCTCTCAGAGCTGAGTCAGATGCTGTCACTGCTCTGCTCCAAACCCCAACCTGCTACTCCATCCAGAGTAGAAGCCAGCGCACTCTAACAGCCTCCGAGGCCTTCTTCATGGGTGCCCCATCTCTTCTCAGATCAGCTCCTGCTGGCCTTGAACTCCTGGGCTCCAGCCACACCAGCCCCTCGGTGTTTCCCTTCGTTAACCCTTTAGCTTCCACATCAAGTCTTTGCTCAAACGTCACTCTCCCATGCAGCGTGCCTTGTGGAAAATCACACATGCTATGGCTCTCTAGGTCCTCCTGACTCTGTTCCACCTGTTCTCCTTAAATATTTCATAATTCATGGACATATTATCTTCATTATTTATTCTCTGTCTCTCCCTGCTGGAGTGTAAACTCCATGAGGGTAGAAATATGTGTCCATTTTGTCATTGTACCCCAGAACAGCACCCAGCACACAGCACGTGCTCAGTAAATGAGTTCACTGAAGAGCAATTTGGGGCATGCACATCATCTCCCATGGTGCTGCCTTCAAGGAGACAACCTCCATGTGTTGGATGTGCAAGGTTCAGAGTACTCATATAAAAACCAGAGTCTCATTATTTGACACCATTCCTCATAGTAATTCTATCTTTTAAAAATGCTGATAATGGTTTGGTCAAAAGCACACATTGCTTTATAATTCTGTCACTGCTGATGCTTTGTCACAGACCAGCAGAGGGAGCTTATGTTTTAAATGATACACTACGTACTCTACTCACAGCTTCCTGAGATGGCGAAGGATTCATTACTCCATTTCTTTGGCAGTTCTGGGTTGATGGTTACGTCTGCACTATAAAGCACCCTGGGAATGCTCACAGGCACTAACGCCTCATCTCCCCAGTCTGGCTCCCTTGATTTCATGCTGTAGTAAACTGTAACTCCTTTAACAATAACTCCAGGGGATCATCTGGGCATTTAATGTGCAGTTATGAGCTAATGATACTATACAGAGAGTACTGTGTGTGTGCGCGCATGTGTGCATGTGTGTTATCAATGTCCTAGCAGTAAAAGTTATTTGAATGTAGCAAAACTGAATTTACCTATTAATCAATAATTTAGCATCTGAGCAACAAAACTGATCTCTCAAAGATCATCACAATGAATTATACTTTAAAATTTAATCTGGTTTTTCACTTTTTTTTTTGAGACAGAGTCTCGCTCTGTCGCCAGGCTGGAGTGCCGTGGCACCATCTCAGCTCACTGTAATCTCCGCCTCCCAGGTTGAAGTGATTCTCCCGCCTCAGCTTCCCGAGTAGCTGGGACTACAGGCACGTGCCACCACGCCCACCTAATTTTTATATTTTTAGTAGAGACAGGGTTTCACCATGTTGGCCAGGATGGTCTCAATCTCTTGACCTTGTGATCGGCCCGCCTTGGCCTCCCAAAGTGCCAGGATTACAGTCGTGAGCCACCGCGCCAGCCTTTTCTGTTGTTTTCTTTTTTAAGACAGAGTCTTACTCTTGTGGCCCAGGCTAGAATACAATGGCACGATTTCAGCTCACTGCAACTTCCGCTTCCTGGGTTCAAGCGATTCTCCTGCCTCAGTCTCCTGAATAGCTGGGATTACAGGTGTCCACCACCAAGCTCAGCTAATTTTTATATTTTTAGTAGAGACTGGGTTTCACCATGTGGACCAGAATGGTCTCGAACTCCTGACCTCAGGTGATCCACCCATCTCAACCTCCCAAAGAGCTGGGATTACAGGCATGAGCCACCACATCCAGCCTCACATTTCTTTAGTAAAGATATCAAAGTTCATTGTAAGTTTTTTTAAAAGTTATATAAAGTAATTTTTACTTCTAATTTGAATTAAATTCAGGCTGAATTTTCATTCTTAAATATACTGTACAAATATTGAAATGTGTTCAGTCACTTCCAAAGGGATAAAAAATTTCACAAAGTTTTTTTACCTGGATTAGTTGTAATAATGGTTTTTGAGATTACAGTTGCTGTCATGCAGTTCCGAAATTTGTCAAAACTTATTCTTACATCTGAGACAAATATTACTGTTTGGGAAAAAAGCCATTTACAATTATTACATGGGGGGATATAAAATTACAAATATTAGACATAATCATTTAATGATGATACCTGTTTCTCGTGGCATCCAGCTCTGTGCAAGTAGAATGGATTCATTATCCCAACTGCATTGTTTAAAAAGAAGTAATACAAATTGAATACACTAGAAAAAACTGACAGTGACACATTATTTACAACAATAAAAGAAAGCTTCAGTGGCTGGGGTCAGCCATCCCCAAAGTGGTCAAAGACCTCCTGGTCTTAAGGATACCAGCTTCCTCCCAGGGAGAATTTAACACCTCCATGAGCGAACATTCCTTCAACACACACTCTGCTCTAGTAATACTCTGCTCTGCCAATTCTTTATTTTTCTAACAATCACTCCAGGCTAGTTAGAACTAAAGCCTAAAAACTTTAAAGTCACACTTTCAGACCCTGAAGTGTCCCCCAGGAGATATGAAGGTTCAGGGGCCTTGATGGATTGAAAGCATTTTTCAAATCATTTCCTTTGGTACCCAGGCATCAGGGGTCTAGACAATGCCTTGTTGTACCTAGCAGTGCTTCAGGGTGCAGTCCCCGCCCTGGCCCACATGCCCTGTGCCCTGCCCTGCTCCAGGATACTTTCCAGGAAGCACAGAGGGAAAGTCTGGCTTGTTCCATGGGACCTAGTAAACCACCATTTGTTATAAAACAGAATTCAACAATAAAACTGGTCACAGTGGAGTCCTCCTAAGCAAGTTCCATGCCATCTAAAGACCTCATTTTAAGGGGGTGTCTATAACAACTCAACATTCAAGAGAGAGGTTTATTTTTTAAAATATCATTCATCTCCTATCATTATCCTCTCGATATGAAGTCCATCATATTTTTGATAAAATGAAAATGTCCTGGTGATAACAACAGGGATTTCACAATTTGGAACAGACGTCGGTGGTTACCATGTCATTGCAAAAGAAGACTCTGTTTCATCGTAGAGTCTAACTTCACACCTCTGGCCTTTTCTCCGGTCTGAAGTTGTGAAGTATTTTGGCTCTCCAACCTTAGAAATGGAAAGAAATCATTACTCTTCACCTGTATGTAGAAGTATTTAAGTTTTGTTTTTTTTTTTTGAGACGGAGTCTCACTCTGTCGCCCAGGCTGGAGTGCAGTGGCCGGATCTCAGCTCACTGCAAGCTCCGCCTCTC